GGATAGACTTGTGACTGGTGACAAAAAATGGATCTTTTATCGAAATGTTAAGCATCGTAGACAGTGGCTTGGGCAAAAGGTTTTTCTTTCAATCTGGTGGGATTGCCAAGGAATAATCCGCTTTGAATTCTTACCACCTAATGCAACAATTAATGCTCAGATATACTGTCAGCAATTAGAGCGTTTGAACCAAGCTTTGAGGAAAAAAAGACCTGCTTTAGTGAATCGAAAAGAGGTGATGTTTCATCAGGACAATGTGCAACCCCACACAGCAAGAATCACATCACAAAAGATCGAAGAACTTGGTTGGGAGAAAATTCCTCATCCACCTTATTCTACCGATCTTGCTCCTTCAGACTACCATTTGTTTTGTAGCTTACAGAATCATTTGGAAGAAACAGCTTTTGTAACACAGGAAGAGGTTAAAACTGACATTTGTAAGTTCTTCGAATCAAAGCCAAAAGAATTTTACAGTAATGGAATTAGTAAGCTTGTTAATAGATGGAAGGAAGTCATAGAAAATCAGGGAAAATACATTGTTGATTGAATCTGTAATGTAACATTTGGTCATTTGTTTTCTTTATTCAAAATTCGGACAAAACTTATGGGATGACCTGATATTTCTAAACATGTTTGCAATAGACAATATAATATTCTGTAGATATAAAAATGCATGTATCTCTGAGGACATTGAAAGAAAAGTGATTTTTGAAAGGTTTCATCTGAACAGCTAGTTCTTATAGATTGTCTGGCTAGTCAGTGTGTGGGGGTTATCTCATCTCAGAAATCCAACTCCACCTTTTATTTTCTTGGTTTAAGTGACTGTGAACTACTTGAAATAAATTGCTGATGTCGTACTATTTTGTAAAGTTTGTACCAGGAAATAATTAAAACTCTCCTTTATATTGTTGCTCTGGTCTGAAGCTCAGTACAGATAGGGCTGGGGGTGTGGGGTGAGGTTGTGTCCTCTTCTGTGACTGTCAGGCTTGATTATATTTAACCATAGAAAAATGGCATTATGGCTGGCATTTTTATTTTTGCTGTTACCATTCCTCCAGAGTTTAAGAGATCTGTTGACACAGATGTGTATGTGTGTGTCTGGGTTGTCTGCTCCAAGGTAGTGACTGTAAGGGATGCTGATATAGGATTACAAGAACTTGAAGAGGTGGGGGGTGTTTTCAATGGTTGAGACAGGTCTGAATGTTACTGATGGTAGAAGAATGATTTTGGGTGGAACTTTGGAGTTTAGAGATGGGTGAGGGAGATAAAGTTGGACAAATTCTCTTCTCTTTCTCCTTCTTTTGCCCGTTTTCTTTTTAGCATCCTGTCATATTTATTAAAAGACTGGAGCAGCTGAAAGTAATTACAGACTGCCTTGCTTTTGTTTCCTTTCCACTCCTTCCCCCAGGATTATCTTTTTTTTCTTTTCTTTTTTCTTTTTATACTTTCTTGCCTACCTTTTGTCTACTTCTCCTTTTAGCTACCCTTTCCTCTCTTCTTTTTCATCATTTTCTTTCTCCTCTTAATTTTGTTCTTTGATTTGCTCTCTCTTTTTTTTTTTTATCTCTCATTCCTGCTTCTCTCTTTTTTTTTTTTCTTCTCTCCTTTGCTCTTTTTTTTTTTTATCTTCTTCCTCCTGCTTCTTTTTTATTCAATGGAGTTAAAGGGCAGCAGCATAGAAAACTCACTCGTTTATATAATAATCTGTGTTAAAAAGAAAAGTCTTGTTTGCACTAAACTCATTACTCCTATTACTCTTTTATGAATACAAAATAATTGGAACTAGATCATGCATTTTGTTGGTGTGTCATTTTTTTCTCACTTTCTCTCTTCCTTCCATATCTCTATCCTGAATTCTTTTCATCTCATTATTTCTTCCTTCTCAAAGTGATCTCTTCAACTTTGGTGCAGGGGCGGACCTGCTATTTGAAAGAAAGAACTTCCATTTACTTCAACCTTTTGACAAAGCAAATATTTGTTGGTAGAAAACTAAGCAAATATTCTTGTGATTTTTTTTTTTTTTTTTCATTTCTTTGCAATAAGCAGATTTTTTTTTTTGGCTCTCTTTTATTAAGAATTTTATGATTGCTTTATATTCTCTAATCATGTCATCGATGGCAACATTCTTTAATCTATTGATGCTTATATTCTTTATCTTATCTCTTTCTCTATTGATGCCTACTAAAATATTAAAACAAAAGGTTATATTTTTCTAATTTTTCCATTGCATGCAGTATCTGTACTATCCCTATGCGTATTGATTTAATCTTGGGCATGGTTTCAGAAGAGGTGTTAAAAGTTTAACTCATGTTCACTGTTAGGATAAACTGAAATAATCACCCACCCACACACCCCCACACACACACACAAACACACACTTTTTTAAAGAATTAATGGATTTTAATTTTTTTTTAATCTAACATTTTTGTTACGTCAAAGATTTTTAGTGGATACCCACATTTGAGTAGACACTGTTTATTTAAACAGTATTTATTTCATCTACCAGTTTGTGTACTTGAGAAAACTTACTAAAGAAAATGTCCTCCATGACGGTATTCAAACCTGCATCTGCCTTTGCAGGAACCACTATTTAATCTGGTGTGGTTTTATCACTTGACTATGAAGTGCTTCATAATAAAGCACGGTTCTATGAACGGTTGGACTTTACAGGCAAAATGGAACTCAAAAAATGAAAGCCAAATAACGCCATTGGTTTTTCTGTTTATAAATAAATTACAAAAAACAAATAACACCAAACATATTGGAAAATGGCTTACAACAATAAATCCCAAAAATGTTAACTCTATTTGTATGAGAAATAGACCAACAAAAATCACTAAAATGATCAGAACTTCTCAAAATGCAGACACAAAAACAAATTCTTATGACATTACTTAAAAATTGAAAACTAAAAACAAATACCTTGTAAAATAGCATCATTAAAAATGCAAATATATGCTCTGTATACAACGCAGATAATGTAACATTATACAAAGCCAATACATTAAACTAGACATAAGATAACTACCCCCCCACAAAAAAAATTAAAATAAATAAAATCTAAACAAATTAAGAAACTACAGATACACATATAAACATAAGTAAATGTAATAATAATAAACAACAACAAATAATTAAGTAATCAATAATAAATGAGTAGAATAATAAACAAATACTATAAAATGCCCCCCCAAAAAAATAAAAAAAAAAAAAAACTGTATTCGGATCCACAATTATTTCAACTTAATATCCTCTAGAATAATTTGAAATATAACTTAACGCCTACCCAATTAAACAAATATCACTGCTACATTGAGAAATTCCGGAGATGTTCAACTTTAAAATTTTTGTGTTTTTATGTATCCAAAAATATATATTTTAATATGACAATAAGCTGACTCTCATTATTTAGCTTTCTATCGTTTGGTTTTGTTTTTATCAAAATCCATAACAGATTCCAAACAGGTTTGTCTACTCAATTTCACTCATAAGTCTTGACATAATACACGTGCACACACACACACACACACAACACACACTAAAATGTCATTTGGTGTTGTTTAGGTAAAACTACTATTTTCTGAGAAAATAAGGCTACTTATTTCCTGAATAGATTGGCCGAATATCTACCTCTGTTTACATCCAACCATTGTAACCAAAACTTAAAGCAACAAGTATTTTTCTGGTTTTCTATAAAGAATACATCAATAGAGTTTCCTTTTAATTAATATAATTGTTTTTATATGTGCACACACATGCTTTGTAGTTAATGAAACCATGAAGAAATAATTTTCTCTATACAAATGTCAGCCAGTGGATGTGAAGTATATCTATTTATGAGTCTATGAATTCTAGACTATGCTTTGTGGAGATGCATAAATCTCTTTTATTCTTTATCCTTTTTAGGCTTAATTATTTTCCCTCTTAAATCATTTATTGGCTAATAATTCTATTTTATATGCAAAAGAAAAAATATATTAATAATCCATATCTGTATAAGTGGGTCAGAAAATTAGTTCTATGGAAAGATATTGCTGATGATTTGTGTAGAGGAAGCTTATAGGCAATCAATCAGTCATCATGCTATCTTTTTCTTCCATAAATATTTTGACTTTATAATGATCAGATAGCTTTTATTACAGTGTTATAAGTGCTCTATTTTATTATTAGTTATTGTTAATTTCTTATTGTCTAATTTATAAATTATGCTTTATTATAAGTATGTATATTGAAAAAAAAAAAACCTATAAAATATGGTTTGTTACACTTCACATTTTATAAGGCAACAACTGTGCGTTTTGAAACATTCTCTGGATAACTGGAGACTGCTGCATTATTAACCATTTTCTTTGTTGTCAAATTACCTAGAAAATGAAATGGCTCAAATTACTTTTTCACCAAGTTTTAAATATCCAACTCGCTGCTTCTGCCAATTTGTAGTCTTCTCTGTTATTGTTATAAATACAAAACATTCTGAAAGAGGAATCAGTACTAACTCTACTCCGACTCGGCCCCACTTCTATTACTAACAGATACATACTAAAAAAAAAAAAAAGAAAATAAAGATCCACCTATGTCCTAGACATGTAATGAACGATCTACATTAGAACACATACTATGTATAGATTTAAGTTTGGTTCATAAAAAGTATTATCAGGCAAACAATATGAATGAACTCTTCAACAGGATTGATCCAAAATAAAATAATTAAATTTTTTCTTAAGGAAACCAAGATATTCAGAATTTTAAGTAATGATTAATATTGACAAATAAATGAACAAAATAAAATCTCCAACTGAACTTCATACCAAAATCATTAACCTTGAATAAACTCCTTTACAAAGGCTATCATTTTCAACTAAATGACATTAAAATATTATTCAGATTAAATTTAATACACAAACCATAATGCCCAATCAAATCTTATTTGGCATGAAATGATCTAATGAAGGTTGATATGTCTTTAAAGCCAACAATCAAATCGAAGCATTCCGAGGCTTATGGCAATATCATATTGAAACACTAGTTCCTGAATGATCTCTGAAGCTAAGCAATATCAAGCCTGGTCAGTAGCTGGATGAGTGACCACTTGGAAATAACAGGTGCTGTAAGCTTGGATGTGTGGGTGGTGTAATAAATAATGATTCAGAATTGTTAATCAGGGAGCCAAGTTCTGATTCCGTTTGGGTTCATTATATTCACTTATGTATTCCTTTGGGGAAAGGTATGAATCTACCTCTTCCCTCCAGCTATGGGTTAATTAGGACTTCTATCTGTAAATCATTATCTCCAGAAAATTATTACAATCTAAAAATATTTTCTGGCTTTAAATAAGTGGCAAAAGGTTGGTAAGCCATAGAAAATGTATCGATCAGTCGTAACAAAACGAATCGATCCATTGAAACATTCCAAGTGAAATCTTTAATTTTATTATTTTCCTAATTTATTATGATGTCAAAAGTGTAAATGATGTTTTCATGTGGGAATGCTTTTTTTTTTTTATATTAGTAAATGATTGACAACTTCATTTGTTATGTTTTTAAAATTCTTTGTCAACATTAAAGAAGAGGAATAAATTGAATAAAATTAATTTCTCTGACATGATGGATTTGAAAGTGAAAATTGTTGTCCTGTTCCTAAGTTTTCTGATAACAGGATCCTTTATTTAAATGAAATTCAATATTTGGAAGGCATTAACATTGAAGAAATAAAGAAAATAATATTTTTGAAACAAATCTAGTGCTGGTTACTTTTGGATGGTTCTTAACAGAATCAAGATTTTTCGCTAAGAATATTGAGGAAAAAAAGAAAAAAAAAAATATTCCAATGATGTTTCATCCAGGCTTGTATATCAGTTTCTATTTTTTATTTTTATTTATTTATAATTTAATATTATTTTGATTTGGTCCGGTTCTGTTATGTATTTAGAAATTATTGACAAATTCTAAAGAAGAATCTACAACATGGCAACTCTGCTTCAGTCACTTTCTCATCATTGTAATGTAGCTTCCTCGTGCTTTTTCTATAAATATTTGCATGATAATTGTTCTGATGAGATTTCCTCTTTTGTAATTTTATGTATTTAAGCACAGTACTAGATTTACAGCAAGGTTTCATTATTTTACAGCTACAATGACTACATGTAACCATAAGTTCTATGTTAAGTTTCTTTTCTTGCACTTCTTGCTTGTAGAACTCTCTTCTGGTTTATTACTTTCTGATAAACTTTGATCTTCAAAAATTGAAATGCAAAATCATTTATCTTTTCTCCTTAGTTCTTGTTCTTTTACTACCCTCTCTTAATGTATTTTTCCCCACATTTTTTCACACTAACTAATCCCTTGCATCTTAGTGGCTTTATCACCTTGCTTGAGGTTAAATGTTAAATTAATCATAATTTACTCTTTTTGCAATCATACATTTAATTCAGTCATATCAGGAGATGAGTGAACCAAATAATTTTTAAAAATAATTATTTGGGTTTGTAATCATTTCATTCTGGGATCATCAGGGGACTAGTGTGTCAAACAAGTATTTTTTTTTCCTCTCTTTTCTTTATTTTGATTTGTAGTCCTAATTTAATCCTGGATAATCTTATCTATTTCATTTTAAAGTCATCAGGGGTGGAGAAGATAAGTGTCAAAAACAGTTTTTGGGTGTTAGTTTCAAACTGTTAACCCAACTAGACTAGACACATTTTATTTGTTGGAGAAGTTTTTTTTTATTCATCCATTCCATTTATTTTTGTTGAGATTCACTTCATAATGCAGGAAATGGGATAAATGAAATGAACAGCATGAAGTTGTGGAGAGCCATGATTGCCAACATCCTGAAGGAATGCAGCACATAGAAAAACACACTGTTAGCGAATTTATTAGTGTTCTTGCCTTTCTCTCATTTTCTTTTCCTCTTTGACTTTCCTTGTCTGTTTCATACTTTCTTGTTTCACTCCTTTGAAATGAAATGGAAAAAAAAAAAAACAAACAAAAACCCAAAAATGTTATACTCTCATCACCAGAATTGGATGATGTTTCTCAAGAATGGATTATTTCTTCATTGATCATTGTTTGCTTTGATAATGTGAAATATTAAACTTGGAAATATCTATTCATTCCAATAGATGGTCTTGTTCCCAAACTTCAAAAAAAATTATTTAATTTTAGGTGTTGGCCTGTAAATATGCTTTTATCAATTACCTACTAAAACCTACATTATTACCTTCAAGGTAGCTACCTCCAAAGATTAAGTTATAAAGGAGTATATATATATATATATATATATATATATATATGTGTGTGAAAATGCTGAAAACCAAAGAAAAATTTGTCAAAATCATTTTGTTATTAAGAGAAGTGCTCAAAGGATTTTTGATGTAAAAAATTTTTTTATCCATTTTAGAACCTTGGAAATTTTGGTTATATTTTTATTTTTTTTAATGTGATATTTGTTCAGGAAATGTAAGCATTTTTTACTGTGAAAAGCACATTGACTTCCTAATTCTTGTAAAAATCATAATTATTGGATTTTAATGATTTATTCAGAAGTAAATGAAATCATTTTTGAAGTTATCTTTGTAAAAAAATTTTTTTTTCTTTTTTACATCAGTCATTTAATTTTATAAAATTTTGAGAATTTTTTTTTATCTTGTATGGCTTAATTTTCTAGCATTTTCACAGCAAGCATCTTTGTAATAAAGACTTTTCATAAAGCCAAAGTATCTAAAATTCAATAAAGTATAAGATTACTTAAGACAGCTTCTTAAATTAGGATTAAATTATAAAGAACGTGTTCATGTTCTTTCAGTTCTGTCCCCTTATTTAAATTTCCCAAACCTCGGGCTGTCAATAAATCGCTAAACATATCAGAAAAATGCTCCCACAATGTTTAAAAAATATATATTTTTCTGATATTTTAAACTAAAAGTAATGTTTATTTCAATTCAGATTAATTAAACTTTAAATCAGTTAATTTTCTTCAAATAAGATTTAAGAAAAGTATGTGTCCACAATTGGTATCACAGTATTTCAATACATTGCTTTAGTTTCTATCACTTGATCAATTGAAGGCAGCAGAAATCTACAACTTTTTCTTGATTTCCAAAACCATATCCCATACACAGTAATACCAAAGTGGGTAAATTTTGGTATCATTTGAAAGAGAAATCCATTTACTTTCATATAAAATCAACTTATACTTGGTTTTCATAATTTGGTGTTGTGGTGGTGATCTTTTTTTTTTTTTTTTTTTTTTTTTAAATCTCTTTAAGAGCTGATATGGTTAATTACCACATATTCAATAAAAGCACAGAAGGCATACCAAAATTAACAAAACAAAAAGTCCTGATATTGTTCATGACAGTCTCCTTCCTCTTTAATAATGTCATTGTACATTTGAATTGTGGCATGTATTAAGCTGTAGAAACTTCATGACAGCTTCCCTCATAAAATTTGCCTCTTTCACCATCTTATCCATGCAGAGTGCCTTTATCATGGACCTAAAGAGAATCTGCTGAGATTTATTAACAATTTGGAAGGAAAGAAAGTTTAATTTATACTTAGATTAAAAACTGTGAGAAATGTCTATGCTGCTGAAATATAAGACTGGTTCTTCTATGAAATGTTATGACAAGGCATTTGTAAACAAATAACATTGTTAGATGATTTCTCTGAGTCATCAAGTGAACAAGTCAAAATATGGATTGAAAGTTATATACAGTTGAAGGACAATATTGCTTGTCATATTTTTGCTAATTTTATATATGTGATTATCACTATTTTTGTTCCTATCTCCCTGAAGAGCATATTAGATATGTAAAATGAAAAACTGTAATATTGCTTTTTCTTTTGGTCTATTTAACTTTTTAATGTAATTTTAAATGGTATCTTTGCTTTCATTCTTATTAACTTGAATATTTAGAAAAATCTTTTTTAAAAAAAAAAAAAAAAAAAATCATTGTCATAATTGATAATGTATACCATTTTGATCATGTCTTTATAGGGAGTCTATTTGCAAACTATCCTGCCATTTAATATTAATGATAAAAAATTAGTTTACCTAAGGCAAAAGCAATTTAGTTTTCTTCAGAGCTCTCTTCTTGGAACCTCTCATGCATAGTCTTAGCTATAGTGCCTTTGCCTTTAGCATTCTGCATTATTAAAATTCCATTTTTCAAGGCCTTTCAATTGCAGTTTCCTTATTGTTAATTTCACTCAAAGGTATTTTCTGTTGCCATAGTAGGATATGACAACACAACTATGAAATTCAAACATACCATTGTTCAGGGATCGGTCACCTTCAGTGGCAGGGTAAATTTTTCTTACAGCAAATGAATTCACATACAGAGTGATAAAGGTTAATGGTAACTTTGAGAAAAAGTCAGAAATCACAGGGGACCAACTCTAGATTATAAAGGTAGTGCAAACTTGGTTAATGAAATGTTTAAAAAAAAAAAAAAAATTCTCTATGAGCCAGACATGAAGAATCAGTCATTGTAAATATAATGGTCATTAATATACAGGTTCACTCAATGGAATTCATTGCCAAATAAGTAATTCTGAAGAAGAGTGTTTATTCAGGCATGTGCTATAGGACCCTCCCGACCTCTAAATGGTTGCCAAATGATATTAAGTCTGTATGACAAGTTCTTGAGATATTTGAAATGGCTCTATATGATCTGGGTACACACACACACACACACACACACACACACACATATATATTAGAGAGAAAATAACATCAATCAGCATTAAGTGTCAAGTTTTCTATTTGTATTAAGATTGCTCAGTATTAGAAAGTGTTTGTTGATATAAACAATGCTGATATAGGAATCAACATTGTCAGTTTCATGCTATCTTCAAACTGTATGTGTATGTGTATATATGTTTTTTTTTTCCTCAGTAATTTTAGACTTAATATAGATTAAATTTTAGAATTGGTAATTTTTAATTTCAAATTTTATAATATAATTTAATATTTATTAGTTAGAATAAATTCTATTTTAGTCTAACCTCAACATTAAAGCATTAAATAATTATTATAACCTTAGTCCATTGTAAAGTTTTTTGAATTCTCATATACTTGTATTTTGATTGGTCATTCCAGCTTATGTAACAGTGTTTCCCTTAGCGAGGGATGTTTGATTGATTTGAACCTTTTAAAACCCTTTATTCTACATTCTACACCATCACTTGATAAGATACCAGAAGTGTTGAAACAAAATGGCTATTTTTGTAGTGATTTTATGACATATTTGTTATAATTTTCGAATAAATAATTGGGCAATTGGTGGTGGCTATCTCCTCCAATTAACAGCTTGTACTGTGCCATTTGGTACCAGCAACAAATAATCCCTGACTTAACCATTTTTTTATTTTTTTTATTCCCTGCTGGTTAGTGTGTTGAGAAGAAAGGATGGGTTCATGCCTTTAGCAAAGTAGCATGAAGTAAAAACTGTTTCAGTCAGAATTTGAATTTGGTTTAAAAATTACAATTTCTGTTAACATTTGTGCTATTCGTAAAATAATATATGTGTGTGTACACACAAGTTTAAAACCCAAACCCATTATCGCTAGGATTCTTTTGCTAGAGTCTTATTCCTTTCAATAATTAACAAGATTTAGATTTAATCTTTTGACACTTAAAGGTAAGTTACTTTAAAATTCATATTTCCAGTCCATTTTTTTTAAATTCCAGTATAGCAAAGTCTAAGAGTCTAGAAATTTATATATTTATTATAGTAACAGGATCTTGTTAGTTTCTAAGGATTTTTTTTCTTATATTCAGTTTTACTGAGACTAAATTTTTCCCTTTTTGACTCACACTTATCTTGTTTTTCTTTTCTTTTTCTCTATTTTTTTATGAACATATGGACAAAAATGCTTGTTGTAAATAAGAAAAAAAAACCGAAACATGGAGTAGATAGGTTCGTTTATTGCCCAGTTCACACTCCTCCCATGTCTTTTGAACAGGAGTAGAGATTTATTCCTTCTAAAAAAAATTTCTCATTCACTCCCAATAGCCCCTTGAGTCTTAATGTCATTATCACCTTGTTTGGGGTGAATTGATTAAAAACAAAAATTCTTAGTTGATATTTTTTACTTTGCAGACTTTATGAAAAATATCCACTTTTGACCAAATTATTGCTTTATTATCAGACACATTTCTTTGACAGCCAGATTTATGTTACTAAAGTGGTGCATTTGTTGAATTTTGCTGGCTTTCTATAACACCATTGAAATTCTGGAATTATTTAGAGATAAGGTAACAAATGAGGCTGGATTCCAACATGGCACTGATGGAAAAAAAAATCATTAATAAGATAGTTTGAGAAAATTTTTGTTTTTGACTTTTCATTAGAAAGGGAGAAATAATATGCCTGATAAATCTGGATACTGGATGGGGGGGAAGATAGTACAAAAACATAAGCCTTAGTGGGTCGGGGGGGGGACCTATCTCTATAGGCAGGCACCTTTCAGTTTCTCTAACCAGGGGTCAGGGGTAAGCTCTGACACCTGTTGCGAAAAATAAGTAAAAGAAGATAATTTTGGTTTTCACCCTTTGTGATCTTCAACATACCTTCACTAAACCTATTTGGGCTATGGTGGGGGGGGGGCTTTTTCACATTATACCTGACCTTGTCACATTCTCACCTTGTAGTAAAGTAATTCTCATTTAATTTCTACATTTTATTACCTATTTTTGCATTCTTTCATTACCCCCCACCCCATATTCTTGCAGACCCCCCCCCCCCGTTTTCTTAGTTTCTATTTCCTTGTCTTTATCTCTTCCTTTTTTTTTTTTTCCATCCCATTCAATACTTACCATTCTTTTTCTTCTTACTAGGCTTTTCCATCTTCTTTCTAATTCTCCTTGGCCTTTTCTACCCTTTGCTGTAGAGTTAAACATCTTTATGAAATAGTCATAAAGAGGATATTTTTCCTTCTATAATAATAATAAAACAATGACTGGAAAGAGTTAGATTTTATTTTCCTCTTCAAACTCATTCTTGTCTATTTCTAGTTCTTCCCTCAGATGAAACTCTTGTCCAACTGAAAAGCTGCCTTTTTCTTCATAGAGATATGCTTACTATCATAGCACATCAATTCTTGGCATTCTAACATGGAGGAAGCTGCAAGTTGAATAATGTCAAACTTTTTTAATACCTTGTTCTTTTCGTAAAGTATTACTAGATCAACAATTTGAAAATTTGTTAAACAATTTTATTCAATATATTGTTAAAAATATTATCAACATATTCTGAACTTTTTTCTGTTTTGGTTGCATTGCTAGATTGAGATACAAGTTGCAAATTAGATAATATTTAAAAGCCGCTACTTCCTAAATTTTGAATTGACTTTTCTTATTACTCACCAAAGTTTACTCAGCTTATTTTTAAAAAAAGTAGTCCATAAATCTGCAAGTACTAAAATTCAAAATGTAATAACTCAAAGCTTTCAAAAGTTGACCAATTAAGCACTTCTAGGAATATGTTAGGATTTGTTGCAGAAATTCAACTAAAAGTTTTTATTGAATAGTCTTTTCTTAAACTGGTTAGAGTTTTAGTTTCTTACTTATTCTTTTCCTTTGAGCATCTGTTTGTGTGTGTTTGTTTTTCTTTCTTTTTGTTTTTATTTTGTTTTCTTTGTGAAAAACTGGGACAAAAACATTGGCATTATCATTTCATTCATTTGATGTGAAAATACTTTATAAATATATTTATTTCTTCCTCTCTCTTGTATAGTGCAGTAAATCTACCAGTTATTTTACTCATGTGGTTAACTCTTTTTGTATTTCCTCAGGTGGATACAACTCAAGTTGTATTGAAAGAAAATGGAGTCTCCCTGCGTTTGACGGTTGTTGATACGCCTGGTTTCGGTGATGCAGTTGACAACAGCAACTGGTGAGCCTAATTTTATTTTTTTCTAACTGGGTTTTATATTGTATGTTTGAGATTTTATTCTTTTACAACACACATTTATAAAAAGAAAACTTAACCAACAATGTGTCTGATTGAAGCAAGGTACTTGTATCAATTTTGCATGAAGAGATTTCTCAGTGATTCCCATTTTGTTAATTCCAAAACCTTTCAAATCATTAGTTTCTCTTTGTGATACAAAAGAAAATTTAAATAATAAAAATTTCATTAAGAAATATATGTTGAGTAATTAAGAGATTACAATACTGGCATTAGGTACAGATTACATTTCTGTTTTGCTAAAGTTTATATGATTTCTATTTTTGGTTTCATATATTGCTTACTTTTTTTAATTTTTTTTTTTATATTAGCTATTAACTTTTTTCTTATCTTTTTATTATGCAAAAATGCACTCTTTGTAAAACAGTTAATGCATGATACTGATTTAATGACCATGTTAAATGACTACTGACAATTACTAATTGAATCAATGTTCAGTAGTATTGTTTATCCTCATTAAATTACATGTTAATGTAACACATCAATGTTAAACATAATCCAATGAAAGCAAAGCACAGTAGTTTAGTGTTTTTGATAATAGATTAAAATAAAAAATAATGGCCATTTGGCTACATTTTGTTATTTGGACAGTTTGCAGTGAACCATATAAGGGATTTTTTTTTAATACTGGACAGTGTCAGGTTAGTTTCTCTTAGCATCAGATTTCCCTTGGTTCTTTGTATTCAGTTGAATGTGGTCAGGAAATTTTATTGGAAAAGAAACTTCAGCTTTAAAAGAAACATTTTAAATATTACAAGGACAACAGCCACCACCAAAATCTATGGACAGTGTCAGGTTCGTTTCTATGGTTGTCCCAGTTATATTTTGATGGTTCTGTCATTCAATGATCACCAGCCTCTGAAGAAATAATTTATCATCTGATGTTGGAAATGTTAATTGGTAATATTATATACCTTACTGTCTATAATTCTGATAAAATCCTTATTGTAAGTGTTTCTGTTGTCATAAAATGTGGTTAATCCATTCTACAGGCCTCCTTGAGTGCACAGTGTGTAAAGATAGGCAGGGACCCTTTTTTTTCTGTGAAAAGGGAGAATGGCACTTAAAAACGGCTGTAGAAGTGATTAGTTGATTCACTAGTCACAATAAAAGCAGCAAAAAAAGAAATGGAATTGATAGTCTGGACAAATGCTTGCAATAGTCATTCCTTGCTAATTCTTGGGTGTATAGATCTTTAAAAAGTTTAGCTTTGGTTTCAGCATCCACCAGCCAACCACCTTCCTTGAGCTTAATGCTTGTTGGTATAAACAGCATTCTGGATATTACTTCTTCAGTGAAATTATCCATAGTTGTTGAATTTTTGTTTTACAATAGTATTTGCACTCCATGTTTAACTATCTTTGTACAGCTTCAGGTGGTTGGGTTTTTAATTACATTATTGAAATGAAGACTGCCTTGTGATGGTCAGTTTCACAACTCAAGTGATTTTCCAATGATATCTGTCTCCAATATTAAGCACTTTTCCTTTCTTTATCCATCTATCCTTTCCTGGGCCCAATGCCCATTGGTGTCAACAATATTTTGGATTATCGCCCTGCAGTAGAATTATCTGGAGTTGTTGAAATCTATTGTGATTTCATTTTACAGATACATTATCTGCACTTCATGTCTAACCACAACTTTATATAGCATCAGGTGGCTGGGTTTTGAATTCACAGTTGTCTTTCTCCTAGACTGGTTTTGCTCTGCTATTTAACCCATAGCTGGGGAGAGAAGAGATGAATTCAAACCTTTTCTATGCAAAAATGAATTTAATGAACTTGGCCAGAATTCACTTGGCTTATGATTTCTCACTATGGATAACTAACCATCTCAACACATGCACATTCTATGATAATAGTTAAAATGGAAAAAAAATTCATCAAATAATCTATTATTTTATAAGTGGGTACTTAAAAAGCTCTGTCTTGACAGACTTCCCAAAATCTGGAACAAAGAATTTGGATGGAATTTCTACTAGGTCATGTCAGCTTATCTGTTCCCAACCTGTAAACAAGTGAACTTAGTTTTGCATTTTAGTAACAGGGATTTAAATTTTGATAGGGTTTTAGGCCACACTACCTGAATGCCTAAATTATGACTGAGTCCTTAAATGAAAATAGTTATAACATGCCTCAAATGAAAATCTTGCAATTTCGTTTCATTTGCTGCACTATTAACGGTATTTTCATCTACCCACACTCCTTGTGTTTTTTTTTTTGTTTTTTGTTTTTGCTTTTAAAACCAAAATTGATTATATAACTGGATAAACAGTGTATCCTTATTCAAGTCATTCTCTTGTATTAATTCACCCAAACCCAGTTGGGTAGTTGACTTAACAGCTGTATAATTCTTATCTATTAAAACCTACTATCACCTTTGACATGTGTTGAAAAGAGGAATTTGGCTGAGTTAGGGATGCCAGTAACCGATGGAATGCAACCACTCCTCTTTCTTCTTCTTTTTTTATTTTTTTTTTCTCTCCTAAAAATGTCTCATTTTTAATCTGCCAATTTGTTAGCTTATTTATCTGGGGTTATTTGTGGTCCGGTCTATCTCAGAACAAAGCTGCTTTGTATCAAGTATTTCAAAGGATAGCTTACATTTTCTAATGGCAGTTTAGGTATCAATATTTGATGTCAGTTGCAAGTTTCTCACTGTTTTCAATCTTTCCTTGTTCTCAACTTGTATGAAAAATGCAGGCTCTTCTCATTGAGAAGAAAGCAAGAATTGAACTCATTGTGTTCTATTGAAAAATGCTTGTTGCTTCATTACTCTTATATTAACTCATATTATCCTCATGTGTTATCTGCTCCCTCCCCCTTTATCCTCATAATCTTTATTTCCTACCAACTCCTCCTGCAATTCAGCAACTATCTACCTTAGTGTCTCTTGAGCCTTGTAATGGGGAAACCTTAACTCTGTGTGTGTGTGTATATATATATATATATATATATATATATATCTCCGTGGGTAAGTAATCAAGTATAAATAAATATTAAAACTGATCCACAGAAGAGAGCTCAATATATTTATTATAGAGTGTATAAATGAATTATATAAAAAAATAGTTTCATTTTTATATAATTCATATATATCATGTTTTGTTAGATAATATGGACAAGTTCTAATAAATTCAGAAATTTTTCAAATTTCTGAATTTTATATTATTGGTAAAATTTGCCAAAGTTCATATTTGTTATATTATCTCCCCCCCCCCCAAGTCAAGGTGGCATCATATAAACGGTAAAACTGAAATTTTTATTTTTTTTAAACACTATTTACATTATTCGGACTATTGTCTTCATCTTTGTTGTGATATTTATTACAGCGTTTTGGCCGTTGTACTCTCCAGCCTTCTTCAGGTGGTGTTTTTTATTTTAAACACATAATTTATAGTCCCCTATGGAAAAAGATATGTTATTTAATGTTGGCTGCTTCTCTTTTATTACTACAACCTCAAGAATCTATCTTTGCATTATGTCCTATACAAAATTTTGTCATAAAAAAATAAACACAAACACATGCATCTAGTATGTGTTTGTATAGCAGAGAATTTTCTATTTTGTTTCTTGTCAATTTGTAAACATCCAGTGTATCCTCTAATCCAGATTTCCATGGATTGGCCAATGACTAACCAGTGTTGTGTCTCCATTCTTGTTCATGCTGGATGAGCACCAAAAATGAGGATGGTCTGCTGCAAGCTCACAAGGAAACAAAAGATGAAAATAAATGCCATGCCAAGAAATGAGAACTGAAACCCTGCTTTTTTTAAATTTTTTTATTATTATTTATTTATTTAGGTGTTTATTAGGGCTTCACTTTAGGTAGGTAAGTGACACTTGAAATACCGGCTGCCATGTTGGACTAAGAGATCAGCTTCTTTTTGACTATTACTCCTACCAACTCTCTGCTCATCTCAACATCATAACGCATGGCTGGCAACACAAATGGACAGCATCAGAACCTCCTAAAGGACAATCTTTCGCCCACCAATGGCAAACCAGAACTAGCTGCCTCAATGTCAACTATAACTGATAATATACACCAGCAACTGAAAATTGTCAATGTCCAGTTTGCTGTCACTTGACCTCAAAAGGTGTCATTTATTTTTGTTCCCCTTTTGGTTAAGTGGGTACTACTTAGAAAATGCAACTTCAAAGACCCAGTCTGCCAGCCATAAAATCCTGAATCACTTAAGATTAAGATCAAAATCTTACACTCTCTTCTTCTATATGGGGGTCTGGATCATAGTGTCACAATTTATCCTAAAAGTTAGAATTGTATATTATATTGTATATATTTTTTGACATTTGTCATTATCCTTCATTGAGGGATTAAGGGATTACTGACCCTTAAATCCCTTTTGGAAGGTGCAAGTCACTTTAAGGGCATAGAGACGGGAATTTTTTTTGGTGGGAGACAATCAAAACTTTGGCTAGAATAGTTTTTCATTTTCTGTTAATATGAATCCATTCCCTGTTCCCTGGCTGTGGGTAAATAAGCAGTTGGAACCCTTTAACTTTGTAGTATAATTTAACTTCGTTATTAGGTGAGCAACTTAATCCCCCTCCCCAAAAATAAATATCTTGTGTTAGGGAGACCATGACAGCATAATTTGGTTTGGTTGTAGTTCTAGATTCTACAAGAAGTTTCTACAGTAATTTTACATTACAAGAATCGTTTGGACTCTTATTGCTAAGTCATTCTTGTTGTTGTTGCTTAAAGGTTTTGGCCAAGTGATTATCCAGTTGTTCTTGCTACCCTGATTCTTATGAACAGAGGATTATTTCCCTTACACTCTCAGGTAGAATATGACAAGAATATGTCAATATGTATGTAAATTGTGTTATCATTATGCTCTCTTCCTCTTCCCATGTACTGAACCCATTTTATTTGAAAACTATGTAGGGCTAATTAGACTTCTGAACCAAAATTAAAGGGACCTCCAGCTTAGAAAACAGCAAGGATAATTTTGAAGAAATTACTTTGAATTCCTCAATTCACTCCATGGAACTTCAAAACTTCACTTTAAATCTGATTCAGTCCAGTTCTGGTCAAAAGGGGGATTTGAGCCAAAATTTCAATTCGGGCCAAAAACTGAGTTCTTCAAATTACAAATTCCGTGGAATTTCAATCTAGTTGTGTTCTTTAAATCACAAACTCTGTTGAACTTCAAAACCTCACATCACAAAACCTCTCACTTTAACTCTGGTTCCTTAGTAGTTTGAAGAAAGAAAATTGATTTCCTCAATTCACAAAATTTTTAGAGATATTATAAACTGAATTTAAAACAAAAATTATTAAATTAACAAAGTTTTTGTGTTACTTAAAATTCAATATAAATTTAAAAAATTTGAAATCACTATTTTTTTTCCAGTTGTTTTAAAATTTGAATTTTTAATTCCCTCTTCTTCCGGACACAAATCTGGATTTGCAAGCATCAGATGAAGGGCAGATTTTCAATCCTGAGATCATCCTGATTCCAAAAAGGTATAATATGTCAATGTAGAGCAATTGTGGCCTGAATTAGTGGAATTTCAGACACCTGGATTGACAGACAGAATTTGCTGTTTATTTAGAAGATAGATGTTTCTTGATTCACAACCAATATTCACAAGCCAGTCATTTATTTGAATCCAGTGCTGATTTTCATTATCATAATCCAATATTAATAAAAAATGTAAGTTTTTATTTATTTATATTGTTTTGTGACAAAATTTAATAGGGATGTACAAACGTGGTTGGTATTTTCCAGCTAAAAACTTATAATTTTATATTTTTGACAATTTTTAATTGTATTTTTTCTCTTTTCTGTCTTCCTCTAGCTGGCAGCCGGTTATTGATTTTATTGACTCAAAGTATGAGGAATACTTGAACTCTGAATCAAGAGTCAACCGAACTACAATGCCTGACAACAGAGTTCATTGCTGTCTTTACTTTATTGCTCCTACAGGTCATGGGTAAGTGGATATTTTGCCGCCTTTTTGATGCTATCAATGTGACATAACCATTTTCTGGGTTTACTGGATTGTGATTAAAAGAATCTGTCAAAAGAAGAATAATGAAATTCTACACAAATTAATAAAATATTATTTTACTCCTGCTCTCAAAACTAACATTTTAAATGTTTTATTCAATTGGATTATATATTTATTTATTTTATTTTTTTTTTTTTTTTTTTTTTTTTTTTCAGTTTTTTCACCATCTAGTTTTTAAACTTTTTCGAGAACTTTTCGGTTCAGCTGAGATTTTATGAGCACCACCCTTTATAGTGCTTTAGTTAAATGCTTGCTTATTTTTTTATGCTGTCAAAAATAGCATTTTAAATGCTACCCCTTAATTATTATTGTGATAATATTTTTTCAGTCACTCTTTTCACCTACTGCTTTTTTTAGCCTTTACAAGCACTTCTATATGATGCCTACTGCAATGGAGTTGACTACCAATTGACATTGGCAGTGCAAGTAAAATAATTCTAGGACAGTAAAAAGTTAGGCATTATAGGCATTAAAAATATACTACTTGTATTGAAAAAAATATTTTCATGTTAAGCACAGAATTGAGAGCTGTCATTAATTTCTAAATTGGATGCTTGGCTTATTAGAAATTTTGCAAAAATAAAACCATTGTTTTAATATTAGCAGGAATAGATAGGTTCACTTATCATCCGGTTCACACTCCTTCCCCATTCATTGAACAGCAGTAGAAGTTTCTCTTATTTTCTGTTTAGGATTGGGTCTCCGTTTCCTTCTAGAGTCTTCTCATTCTCTTTTACTTCCAGTAACTCCTTGCATCTTAGTAGCATTATTGCCTTGCTTAAAAAGAAAAAGAGGGATTCCGATATTTTCTTGGCCTGGCCCACTTACCAAATTCCCAAGCATCAGATTTTGTGTGTGTCATCTTTTGAATATCACTCTGATACAGTGTTTCAGTTAAATGTTTGGTTATAATATTTTACTTTTTATTTTTTTTAAGAAAAATAGATTTCATAAGTAAACCACCGAACTTCACTGCAACATATATTAAGATAACTGGAGGCAAAAAGATAAGAATAAACAAATTCATTAAGTGGAATTTTTTCTATCATGAACGACTTGCATGTTATGAAGTTCCAATTTTGGTCCCCCCCCCTCCCCCCATAAATTAGAATTATCTAAGCAAGGAAACAGCCATCTGACTTTTACCAGTGAAGTGGCTGACGGCACAAGAAAATAAAATCTGTGAATAGTTTAAATTTTGGCTGAAATAGTTTTACAATGCACTAATACCTTTGGAAAAGGAAAGAATTTATCACTTCTCTACTTTCTCTAGCTACTGGAAAAACTGTAGGGCAGACTGGGCTATTTAGACTTAGTTGGCTACCAGTCTGAGGTGGACAACTCTGAAATCAAATCATTCACAGGTTTGTGGCAATACCAACTTACAAGAACAACTTTGGGAGCAAATGATTACAAATTGACTATTATTATGTAAAGTATTCTTTTTTTTTTTTTTTTTTTTTTGTTGCTTAGCTTATACCACGTGTCATTTGCTCCCCCCCCCCCCCCGGCTTTAAATCAATTTATCCCAAGCAAGACGATAATGCCATTAAGATGCAATTGACTACTGGGAATAAAAGAGAATTAGAAAACTTTAAAAGGAACTAGAAACCCAATCCTAAACAAGAAACAAAGATAAAAAAAAATGGGGGGAGTGTGAATGGGATGATATTAAAAAAAAATGTTGTAATGTGATTCAAATAATCATTTTTGTATTTTTTTTTCCTGAATGTCTCTATTTGATTGGATTGGACTGGACTAATTGTGATTCATTGCAAGAAATTAATATTATAAATCTTGCATAATTGTTTCAAAATAACTTTTTTTTTTTCTTACTGAAACAAAACTGACAAATCATGATAAACTTCTTCAAATTTGATCTTAGCATCTTTTTTGTTTGTTTTTCACTGAAAACCAAGTTCTAAAATAATTACTTTTGAAAAAGTCACTAAAAACCTCTTGTCAAATTGTTCACAAAACTTTTTAAATTTAACATTTTTTGAATGTTTCTCACTTTTGTATATTTAACATTTGAAGAAAGTAATTCTTTTCTAACTTGTTAATATTTCTTTGCAGGAGGGAGAATATATTTTATAGTTTCAGTATTATTTGTTAGAAATTGTCATTGTGTGATTACACCTGAGTGTCGTCATTTACATTAAGATGTCTTCATTTCAGACTGAAACCATTAGATGTTGAATTCATGAAACGTCTTCATGATAAGGTGAACATTATTCCTCTTATTGCCAAAGCTGACACCCTGACCCCAGATGAATGCAGGGACTTTAAGAAGACTGTGAGTTTTCCTTCAATTTTTTTTTTTCTTTTTCTTTTTTTTCTTTTTCTTTTTTTTCTTTTCACCTCTTTCTTATCTTGTCTCTTTTCCTCTCTTGATTTCCTCCTCTCTTGGATATTTTTTTTATTATTTCAAGACATATATAGAGGCTACCATTTATAATTACAGATAATATATCAAACTGGGGATGGAATACCATAATTTCAAAGAAATTTCATGATGTCATGACCCTGTCTGGAAATCTTTTTCTTTTTTCTTTTTTTTTTTGTACACCTGTACTAAAATATTTTGGGACTATTTTATTGAAACAGCACCTGTATTTTTTTAATTGGTTGTATTCTCCTGTCCAATACACCTATTTTGTGGGGGATGAATCCTGCAGCTGGTGTGCACCATTGATGACCTATTAAGCAGATAAGCTCATACTCAGAGATGGTACCAAGTAATGTACCAGACACATGAATGGTGTCACATTGGTTCTGAAGTTTCAGTAAGTACCTAAGTACTTATTTCAAGAACAAACTGTTTAAAATGTCAGATTGTGTTCCCCATGTATAGTACATTGTTATGGTGTTACCTTTCCTTCTTCATCTCATTTCACCTTTGCCCTTCCACAAGGAAAAACTTGCCTTTTTTTAATTTTTTTTATTTGATTTTCTTTCATTTTGGTGGACAAACAACAAATTAAAAACAGGTAACATTTTTATATTTTAGCACATGTACCAAAGTGCTTTTAAAGTTTCATTAGACACCATCATGATACTAAATCTTATGTCTTGGATTTGAGTTCAGCTTCTCATTTCAATCCCCTCCCAAAATCAAACTGTTATCATTATCAAAGTCAGTCTGTCTCAAACACTTTATTCAAAATGATCATAATCAAAGCTCTAGCTATTTTGTATAATGGAAGCTTTTGTAACAATGAATTTTTAACAATAAAAATAAATCGTTTCATTTGTGGGCAACTTTGTTCACTGATCAAAATGTTTTCCCTTCCACTGCTGGTGACTCCAATCACTGAACAAGTGTTTGGATTTCATAGTTATATTGTTGTATCCAGCTATGGCAACAGTAAAAATGACCCAGCTTGAAAATGAGAACGAGGCTACTAAATTTGAAAGACATTGGGGGGGAAAAAATGCAGTTAGACTGAGAAATACGTTAATGTTATTAGCTGGTTATTATGATCAGAACTGGTTTCCTGTGTTACATACATATATTCATAATAAATGGATATGAATTTGCATCATCTGCTTAAATAACACAAGGAAAGAATTATTATATTAACACCTAATATTGTATATAAGTTGTGCTACTCAAGGTTGGGGATTTGACCATATAAATGTGCTTTTTCTAATGCCTAATGTCCATCATTCCCTTGTGGGCTGGTTCACAGAGTCTTGCAGAAAAAAGTCAACAACAATGGCACTTTGCATTTTCAGGATTTCAATGACCATTGATCCACACTAGAGGTGGTTAACAAATTTTAATAATTGTCCCAAAGCTCAAAAGTAGTAATGACTAGCCATTTGGATATGTCAATGAGAAAATATAAATTGCTTCTTTTAAGTGAAAAGATAAAGGTTCGCTTAATAAAGAAAGAAAAAAAATATATATGGTGAAGTTACTAAGATCTACAATAAGGACAAATATAACTTATTAAAGTATATTGTTATAATTGTTCTATTTCATTATTATAGTTAATCTCTTAGTGAGCCTAATAAGATCTGCAGTCAGAATGAATCTTTTATCTGTTACATAACTTTTATTACAGTATATTGTTAGAATTATTCTCTTTTATTATTAGTCATTGTATTTAACCTCTTATTGTTCCTAATTTATAAAATTAAAATTTATTGTAAGTTCTATGCTAACACTTTTTGTCTCTCGCACTTCTTGTTTGTGGGACTCTTTCAGTTTTTGCTTCCCAGTTGACTTTGATCATCAAAATTTTAAATGCAATGTCAATCATTATCTTTTGTCTGTTATTTATATATATATATATATATATATATATATATATATAAAGTATATAAATAAATATATATATGTATAATTATTTATATATTATATGCGCGGTACTTATTAGAAAGCGCTCAATATCAGAGATAGAGCTAACATATTTGGTTGGATAGACGTGAGTTTGTGACCCTGGGTTTCACGCTTTATATATATATAATTCTCTCTCCTTAAAAGTAGTTGTTTTCATATTCTCTAACACTCGGTAACCCCTTGCATCCTAGTGGCTTTATTGCCTTGCTTGGGGGTGAAATGATTAACAAAAAAAAAAAATGTGCAAGAAAGACTTGCATAGAATTATGTACTGTCCAGTTCCAGGCATCTATTGAGTTCTTGGAACCTCTCCTCTGCAGACACTGACCTGTATTTGCTTCATACAAGCTGTTCAAATTCCTTGAATGTTTGGTTAGCACTTTGTATATATCATATAAATAAAACTATTTTAAATGAATTCTTTATGGATTCATCTTTTTATTTGTGTTGTTTTATGTGCATACATATTGCATGAGTCACGATATGTTGATGTATAGTTAACCTTGTGAAACTAAATTAAAAACAACCATATTTCAATATCTGTCTGAAATTAATGCTGAAAATCCCTTCCAATTTACAGATTTTGAATGAAATTGCCCAGCACAGAATCAAAATTTATGAATTTCCTGAGTGTGACGACGAAGAAGAGAACAAAATACAAAAGAAATTACTGAAGGTTAGTATTTTAGATTGCAAAAACAAGATAAACTGACTTTTCTATAATACTTGTGCTGACTATACTCTCACCCCACTGTCTCATACATACATACATACATACATATATATATATATATATACACACACACACACACACACACTTACTCTGTATATTCTTTTACTGGCTGCTGTTTATAGATGAGCAGAATTGCTTGGCTTTTATTTATCAAGAAATTGAAAAAGATTTTTTTCATCTCGCTGAATTTTCTAATAAAATTTGGGCTAATTCCTTCTTCCATTTATTGAAAATATTTTCTTTTTAAAGTTGGTTTATTCTAATGTAAAAATGTTATTACTGAGACCAAAATAGTTTATTAGTGAAGAACTAAGACTCTGGTACTATCTTTTCCTTCAACTGCTTTCTCATACTTACTTGTATCATTTGTATTTTCTATTTGAAAGGGAGTTTGAATTCTAGTTGGGATTGTTACATGCATTTATGCACAAATGCCCTTGGGAAAGGTAGGAATCCATTTCTGCCATCTTTGAGTTAAATAGTATCTGGATTTGATTTTGCAGGTTATTTAAAGCCATAACATATTGATTTTAAGAATTTTTTAAAATTTAAAAAAAATGGGGGGGGGAGATAATGATTTTGTGATACAAATGTTACTAATTAACTCATAACTGAAGGGAGAGAAGAGGTGGGTTCATACCTTTCCCAATGGTATTTGTGTGTAAGTAAATATAATAAACCTTAGTGGAAATGGAATTCAGTCCTCCAATTTCCAGTTCTGAGCTGTTTTCTTTTACACCAATGCACATCTAAGCTTACAGCACCTGATATTCCCAAGTGGTCACCCATCTAGGTATTTGACCAGGCTTGACATTGCTTAACTTTGTTAACCGATGTTTCAACATGATATGGTCATAAGCCATGTATCTGTAAAAAATCATTGTTATTCTCAAAGAAAATTGTTAATGCAGTATTCACTCACAAAAAAGAATTGTTCCAAAATATTTCAGCTTTAAATAATTGAAAAAGAGTTGACAAATTGTTAAAAAAAAAAAAAATTAATCTATTTGAGAGGAATACATGCACAAGATTTTTTGCACATGCATTCTTGGGAAAGATGGCTTCCCATTGCCTTCTCCATGGGTTTGGCATTCAGCTTTCTTTCTCTTAGACTGGTTGCCCACCAAGGCTTGAAAACCCAGCCTACTCTGGAGAGAATAAACAGATTAATGTCTTTCTTTAGGGCAAAAGTGAATGCTACAGACTAAGCTGCAATTAGAACTTGGTTTTCTGATTCTACTTTTTGTGCCAATATCAGTTCTGCTATGCACACATTACAAGAATTATTTCTAGCTCATCAAAGCCTGCTCAGAATGTGCACAGCTATTTTCAATATTTTGAGAACCAGATGGAAACCAATCACTGTTTGATTTGATTGATTAATTTTTTATGGTTTATCAACCCTTTGCAGGTTATTTAAAGCCAGACAATATTTTTAGATTTTAAGAATTTTTTCTTTCTTTTTTTTTTTTTTTTGGTATAATGATATCATGATATGAGACTTACTAATTAACCCATAGCTGGAGGGAGAGAAGAGGTGGATTCATACCATTCCTAAGGGTATTTGTCTGTAAGTGAATATAATGAACCCAACTGGAATTAGGACTCATCTCTCCCATTAACAATTCTGAGCCATTATCTATTACATCACTTGCACATTCAAGCTTACAGCACCTGATATTCTGTTAATGTGCATACATGAAGAGATACTCCCTTGTAGATTCTTCATGTTTTGTGTAAATTTTTTGGAGGTCCAAAGCATTGTATTATTCAGACCTGTCAGCTTCTAGATTTGGCACTCAGCAACTTCTAGTTTTTCCATCAAAGTTAAAACATGGCCAACGTTAAACATAAAACTACTAAAATGCTCTCAAAATAGGACAAAGGGGTGCTGGTATAGGTGGGAGAAATTCAAAGAGTTATTTGAAGATGACAAAGGCACAATTGTCCTAAATAGGCATTTTGTTTAGTAGTTTACTTTTTGTGAAAAACTTGTAGTCACCTGGATCTATCCACTATCCTTCTCATCCTTTCTTCTATCACTCTTATCTGCTCTCGCTCCAAATCTTCTGCAACCCCCTGCATCCTAGTGGCTTCCTGCCTTGCTCGGGGTGTAATGCTTAAAAAAATAAACATCAATATTACTTTTATCGCATAATAGTTGTTTCTGGAAAATTATATATTATTTTATATATTCATTAATGGTTAATGAATAATAAACTGTTATTGTGAAAGTTCAAGTTTTTATTTTTTTTTAAATATTATCATTATAATATTTATTACTATAAATTTAATTTGAAATATTTGCCATCCCCCCCGCCCTCAAAAAAAAAAGTTAATCAAATCATTGATAGAAGAGAAATTATAAAATGAAATTAGCCCAAGATTTGTTAGGAAATTGAAACAGAAATAATAAAAATGGTTCAGGTATGTGGGTGTGTAATAAAAGTAATATTTTGTTTGTTAAATGTGAAAGTGATGATTGCTTTGTAGATTTAGAAGAGAATAGAATGAAGCGTTGGAATGGATTGATGCTCAGATTCTTAGCTTTTGTGATTTGTGCTTTCATCTTAACTGCTTTTGTAGACTTACTAAAGTTTTGATTAGTGTTTGAAATATTACAAATATAAAAGTAAAAAAAAAAATCTAGCCCATTTTCAAAATGGTATTATGAAAAGGTCTTTTGTCTGATTTTTGGAAACTAAACTATTTGCAATGGGAATTATTTAAAAAAAGTCATTTAAAATATTTTGACATTGTAGAAAGAAGATAAAATAGTTACAAAACTGTCTAATGATAATGTGTAAATATAGTGATAATTAGTAACACTTTATTAGACATGGCATAAAATATTTTATGTGCTTATATATATATATATATATATATATATATATATATATATATATATATATAGAATCTTATTCCCCGGGATAAAGATACCTACGCTCTCACCAATCACTCACACAAACCCATTCTCATTAACAAGGTGTCTATCAGAGTAGTACTGACATTGAAAATAAATTTAAAACAATATAAGAGACAGACAACTTTAAGGGCTCATAGGATTATAATTTATTTCCTTAGGACCAGAATTTTTGTCCTAATTCATCAGATCTCCATTTTCATACAAAAATATTGGTGACTAATTGAATATTTTTGTATGAAAATGGAAATCTGGTGAATAAGGACCAAAACCCCGGTTCTAAGGAAATAAATTATAATCCCATGAACCCTTTGTCTGTTTCTTAATATAATTAACATTTGCCCTGTTTTTACATTGAGCTCTCTGAATTACATCCTCCTTGGCATTATCCATATGGATTACCAAATAACTTCATTAATTATATATATATATATATATATATATATATATATATATATATATATATATATATATATATATTAAGGGCGCATGCATGTTGTATTGTTATATGACTGAATGTTTAGAACATTAGTTTTCTAACACTCAAATCTCGTTGTGGTTGATTCATCAGGCAAATGACTTCTTGATAATGCTGTTCTGGGTAGACGATCCCAGTATGTGGCACTGTTGGGAAGTGGCCTAGAAGCCATACCCCAGTTTTGGCATAACCCTTGTGAGTGAAATTGGATAGGCAGAATTGTCTGGAATCTGTCAATGATTTTGTGCTAGCACAAAATCACAAGTCATTGTGACCGAGGGTTTGAGTGTAGTGGCCTTGTTAAAATCCACTCAGCATAATTACAGTATAAACCAGAATTTGACATTAAGGATGTTGAAAGCAGTGACCTGATGTCTGAAACCATTGTTTAAAATAAACATATATTAGCATGGCCTAATGATCTTTACATCAGGGTGAAACTTTAAGTAGGTGCTGTAATTAAATTTTATATATATATATATATATATATATATATATATTTATTAAAGACATTTTATATTTAACATTCTTTTTATAGATACAAGTATTTAAGTAAATGCTCTGTTTATAATAAAACAGTATTAAATAACATTTACCAGCCTGAATGTCGAAAAATTTTCATAAAAATATTCGCCACAAATGATTCGGTTCTGTCCTATAGGAACCAATGCATTTCAAATTGTCAAAAGACTTAACATTTTCTGCCAAAAATTCTTGGTTCTGGCTGGTAAATGTTATTTAATAATGTTTATTATAAACAGAGCATTTACTTAAATACTTGTATCTATAAAAAAGAATGTTAAAACATAAAATGTTTTTAATAAATTGTCGGACTTTGTCCAATTCTTAATATATATATATATATATATATATATATATATATATATATATATATATATAAAGCTCTATTTATTAAGCATTTTTAATTACCAATTTTCATAAATTAGTATTATCACCCAATATAATATGAATTTTGCACATATATATAAAATTTGGATGATTGATTTATTTTTTAGTTACTCATTAATTAAAAATTTAAAAATTGGTAACTGTTTTGTTTGCCAATTTTGTTTATATTCGATTGTTTTCAATTAGTACATATTTTTTTCATGTACACATTAGCTTCACTAATCGAGGTATTCCTTTCTATATAAAATTAATATATGCAAAAGGTTTGTCATTTAGCTGATTGACATCACCTTCACCATCCCGACTCCAGAGTTTTGATGATGGACACATCTGTCCACTTGTCAGGAGTATCAGCTGTTGATGTGTCTGTCTATGAAAGGCTGGATGCTGAAGGTAACATCAATCAACTAAGTGACAAATCTTTTACTTATATTAATTCTGTTAATGCTCCCTTTGATATTGAGCACTTTATTGCAAAGACTTCTTGCCTTAAATGACTTTTCTTTCAATATCCCATTGACTGTCAGCATTTTTAGCTTCATACTATCATTGACAACACTATCTCTCTCTCATTATATATATATATATATATATATATATATATATATATATACACACACACACACACACACA